GAGGTGCCATAAGCTCGGCTTTATTGTTATTATTATTATTCCTTTTCGAATAATGGAACCCATCAGACCAACAATCGCAGTGTTCCTTGACCTGAAATGAGCCTTCGACTCAGTTGACCGCGAAGCTTTGATGGGTTCCCTTCTTCGAAAAGGGATGCCCCAGAAGTACATTGACTTACTGAGGTCACTGTACTCACATACCTCCGGTCGTGTAAGGGTCTATGATGAACCAAGTAGGCCATTCGTCACCAGCAGCGGCGTTCGTCAAGGGTGCCCTCTCGCGCCGTTCCTGTTGAATTTCCTTGTAGATGAAATATTGAAGAACGCACTAAGTGGACTCCAAAACGTAGGTATTGAATGGACACCTGGAGAGAAATTGTATGATTTAAAGTACGCCGATGACATCGTCTGTCTGTTCGAACGTTTGGAGGACGCGCAAATTGCACTTGACAGACTGACAAGTGCAGTAGTCACATTCGGTATGTGCTTTGCACCTTCAATATATATATATATTTCACACTTGTCTGAGGACAGACTGTGTACTAAACAAATCATGGTACAATGATCTTTATAAAAGAAAAATGCTCCACGATTGCACCTTCAAAGTGCAAAGTGATGCTGCAGGACTAAGTTTCGCCCACTCCCGCTCTGAAACCGAATGGCCAGGATTTAGTTATGATGGATTACTTTTCCTACTTAGGTAGTTGCGTGACCAATGACGATAAGATAACCGCCCGCATTTCTAAGGCTCGAGTAGCATGCGCAACAGTTTTCGATTATCTTTGTTTTCATAGTTTAGCCCACGTGGGATTCGTTGAACGGGTTAGTAATGTGGAGGTAAGTCGTCGTGTGTTTGGGAGTCTATCAGGAATAAATCTCCTAGCAGATTTCGCTAGGGCACGTATTGCGTATACCCAAGCATCGTCTGCCGCACTGCGCTTAATTCGCTGTGGCTAATCCGGATTTGAGGGAACCACGTGGAGGTCAACAGATGACGTGGAGGCGAGGCATGAAGAAATGCACAGAGCCATTAGGTAGAGTAGGTGTCTCTCGCCTTCCAGGTTGGGATCCGAAAGACTCCACAACTGGTTGGTTGGAGACATTGAAGGTGGTTTAATCGCTGTCACCGGGGTGCTCTGGATCCTATGGTTCGAGGTTCGAGCCCCGCCACCGCCACGCGACTTTGGTGGTGAGCAGCTCTGCTGTCGTCCGGTTCAATACCAATCCTAACATATCGGGCCCTTATGTGGTTCGCCACTCCAAGTCCCGGGGCTTAGGTCACCGGTTTCCACCACTGAAGAACAGGTCCTCGTGACTATGGGGTTCGACCCGTCTGCTATTGACCTCACGGAAATGTGTACATTAAGAGATAGACATGGGTATCTTGATATCCTACAGAGAAGCACGTGTTCTTACTCGTTATCTAAAGTTGGCGATATGGACATTCCGTTGAAATTCTTTAAATCATACTCCATCTACTTACAGATAAATGTCGGCCAATTCGGATGGAACTGAGTAGATTTGAAGTGCTTCAGTTTTAGGCCTAAATGGTGTCAGTGATAGGTGTTCAGACCAACAGTAATACCAGGAGAGTGATTCTACAGTTTCAAAAAACAATGAGATCGGCTGCCTCACCTGTGTTCCGGTTTCCCGAGCCGCCGTTTACACAACAACCTATGGTTGCAGAACGTGTACAATATGCTACGAGAAAGTAACGGACCCAGAAATCTTTTACTATTGGTACTTTCAAATCAAAAGTGGATCTTCAAAGTGGATAAGAGTAACATGATCTCAAAGAACACGACAAAGAACCCATGTTTCAATATTGAAAAGCTGTCTGTATTCCTTCACTTTCGATTATTGCAATAGTTCGGGCACATAGGCGAACGCCAAATCCGAAATTCCAAAACAACACTTTTTGTTTGTTCCATGTACAAGTTACCACTGTCGAATGGGGGTGGGAACCTTAAAAGGTAGATTAGCCCTTCAAGTTGGAGGTAGAGCGATTTGAACTCCCGCCTTTACGGTTCTCGCCTTTGGAAGCCGAACACTTCTTTGTGCTTCGACTTCACGTCTGATTATCGTGCCTGGGCAGTTACCATCCAATATACCCATCATTTATCAGGAACTAGTAGCATAGAAGTAAAAAGTAAAACTAAGCTTCTCGTTGTTTACAAATCGATTTCGACACAAATTCACATCGGTTTATCTACGACCAAGTTTGATTTCTTCGATAATGCAATAACAATAAATCTCCTGCAGAAAATCTGTGTTCACCGATATTTCAGGTACAAGCCCGCTAACGATGCTCATCCCTACACGTCCGGTTTCACCTTTTATACCGTGGTTCTTCACACAACATACAGAGCTGAGTATTTTCATTTATTTTCCCAAAGACATCGGGGTTTGTTGTAACGGCCAGTACTTTTGCTTAGTTCCCCGGCGAGCTCATCTATTAGGCTGTAGACATTTCTTCGGGAAACAAACTGCTAACAACGCATTCCTTAGGGCAGTAAACTTGACGTTCCAAGTGCTTACCTGTTTTCTTTTCCATTTCAGGTCTGTTGAAGAGTATTGGTATTACTCTTTCCTAATCGGCGTCACTCTATCCATCTTTGTTCACTCAAAACAAAGCACTCTAAAAATGGCTGCAAACGAACAGAGCACCGTGATTCGAATTGCACCGTACCACTATGTCCACGTGTTAAACTTGAACACTAATGTGACGCGTCTTGTTCTTGGTCCACGCACCTTCGTGTGCATGCAGGATGAAAGGTAAGTCATATTCTGTCCCTTTGTCTTATTTTACAGGGTTGTCGTTGGTCCTGAGAAAATGATTAGNGCCTTTCTCCGACACAGTATTGTGTAATAGCTAATCCAGTTGTGAAAGGACCTTCAGGTGAACCGATTCTGGATCCGAGTGGTCAAGTAAAACTAAAAGTTGGTGATAAAATGTACCGATTTCATCAAGAACCTTTCCCACTGTACCCGGGTGAAAAACTAGAGGGAAATGTTGAAAATTTGCCCATCGTATCACCAAACATGGCTTTGCGACTGAGNTTCACAGATGCTGACGGACAAGAGCGCGTAGTTGGTGAGGAATGGCTGTTTGAGGGTCCAGGTAAGCGCATGCGTTTGTCTGAATGTTATCTTGGTCACAGTACGCGTTGTCCTTGTGTCATCGCAATTAGAGCGGGACAAGTCTTTGGTTGTTCTAATTCGTCCCCGGTTTGTTGAGATTTCGTCGAACACGCGTGTCAAGCAATATATATATATATAATATGCGATGATAAGTTCATTTATTCCAACAAGCTGTTCTCAACCAATCCATTTAAAAATTCTTTCTGTACTTGGATAACATTCGTTACTAATAATTCGCAAAAATACCCACGGGTTTTGAAGAACAATAAAAATCGGGTTCGAATGAGGGAGCGAGGATGGTAGCAGTGACAAAATTGATCCACTTCAGTGATGCAAAATTTAACGGTAAGTGTGCCACCGAATAAAATCACATCATTCTTGATTTGAAAATGGCAAGTTATTCGTGTATTTCCTGTCAACATTAAATAAGGTGAATAGTCTGAGTGACGCGTGCGAAGTGGTAAATGCGTTCGCAGTTTAGTCCAATAATTTATTATTCATGTTTCTTTCTGCTAAGATTCCCATGAAGGAATTACTATATTTTTCAGAATACATCACTTGCCTTCTTGTTCCTGATCCCACTTGCAGCAACTTTCTATCCGCGGAAGGAAGTGGAGATTGTGGAGACTGAAACAGCCGTTGTTATCGAACCGAACACTGCATTATTGATTCGGGCCACGAAAGATTGCGTTGATCGATCCGGCAAACAAAGGGTTTTCGGAGAAATGTGGCTTATTCGGACTCCGGGGATCTACCTTCCCGGGGCATATGAAACTGTCGTCGAACGGCGTACTGCATTCAATATCACCGACCAGGTACCGATCAATTAAACTAATGATTGTTCTACTGTCGAGGCACACCGACCCATCTTTCCTGAATTCGTATTCCGATTGATATTATTTAGGATATCATTCAGGGAGGGAGATGCATGCAACAATACTATCTCAACGATTGATGGTAATGGATAAATAGTTCGGAGTATTGCCCAGCTTCACTATCCCAATCTTTATTCACGAATGACCGCCTGTTCACTGAAGATCTATCCGGGTTTTTGGGTTACTTTTGTGTATCATCAGGATTATCTGTTTGAGCTAACTTTTTCGATCTCATCACTGCATATATATTATACTTCCGGTATTCCATTGAACGTTGAAACAATTGGAGCAAATGCCGTTTACCCTTACGTGGATAGAGGTTAACATTTCTAACCTGATCGTACTGTTTTAGGCTCAATGTTGGATCACCGTATGTAGTCAGAAATTGTAGCGCACAAGACCTATTTTTGTTTTGTTCGTGTACAATGTTGTCTGCATGCTCCGAATTTTGGTGTGACAGATATTCACCGGTTAAATAGTTCTCTTCTAAGTCGGTTGTTATCTTTTTTCCCTGATCTGGCGTATGCGTGCATCAGTGTTGAATAATGTTGCCCAGGAAACAGCCCCAAATCAAGCAAGTGGACTATATAGGGTTTATTTTATAATGTATAAAGTAACTAAGATGACGAGGATGCAGGCTGTCTAGTCACAGCTATACACTACTCACTCTCATCAATGCGTGTCTTGACACAATTGGAAACTGGTCACTTGGAGCCTCATCAGTCATACCTCGCTTGCTGTTTTTACAATCGACTTGGTAACGGCCAAGCATTAAAATTCAATACATTAATATACAGGGGTGTACAAGGATTGCAATTTTTACGCAGCTACGACGCACCGGTCTACCGGATCCCAGGTTCAAACTCCACAATCCTCACTCGTTCTCTTCATAGGCCTACTAAATATCACGCCTGTACTGTTTCACGGAGACCCTACATCGTTCCCTGATCTGCAACATGGCTTAAGTTGCCGATTCCCATAACCAAACCGTGGGCCGTTATGACTGCAGAGCAATATCTCACTAAAGTATGCGTTGGCTTAGGTATGCTATTGAACCAGACAACAGAAAGCTGCCCACCACCAAAGTTGGGTGGCGGTGGCGGGACTCGAACCTCGGATCATAGGGTCCAAAGCACTCCAGTGACAGTGCCACCACCACTATTGCTACCTCACATGAGCTGACGGTGTTCGTTGAACTGTTCCCTAGTGCGATATATAGCTTACTCTTATTTGTGTTCTTTGGATGTTGTCAATGGTTTTTACTTCCTCTTATTTATGACTGCGGATCGTTATCTTGCTGTTCATTTCGCTAAAGTACGCATTGAAACAATTATACAAACAAACGAACCATGGTTGTCATTGTGCTACTGAAGAAACTCCTAGACAAATGAGAAATTTTCCTTTATCACAACTACTGCAAATAAATTCGTTTGCCAAACTGTCGAAAATTTGCCATGGTTGGCTATCTTATTGTTTCAACCGTATTCCCGTTTTGGATGACTGCAGGTTGCTTTACACCTTCGAGCTAAAGAGGCCCACGTTGACGAGTTCGGTCGCACTCATCGTCGAGGTGATGAATGGCTAATTACATCCGAGGATACGGACAGTTACATTTGCAGCGTGCACGAAGAGGTGGTTGGACCGGTTGGAATAACCGTACTCAATTCACAACAGTACTGTGTCATTTTGAACCCAGTGGATGAGACGGGTGTACCTCAGCTAGGTGGGAAGAAGCTTGTCCGGGGAGAGAAGTCATTCTTTTTGAAACCCGGAGAAAGCCTACGAGCTGGTGTTGAGGATTCTTATATTCTACAGCACGACGAGGGCTTGATCTTACGGGCTGGGGAGCGCTTTGTGGACGAAGTTTTGATCGAAGTGCCTCCTGCAGGTGATAGTGAAGAACCAACCCTCAAAAAGCAATCAATCGTAAGTTTTTTAATATCTTTTTTTATTATACCACTGTGTGATCAACAGCAGACGGAGGAAGCCCCATAGTCACGAGGACTTTCTGTTCAGCGATGGAAGCCGGTAATCTAATCCCCGGGACTTGGAGTGGCGAACCACATAAGACCCCAATATATTAGGTGTGGTATTGGACCGGACGACATCAAAGCTGCCTATCACCAAAGTTGGGTGGCGGTGCTGGGGCTCGAGCCTTGGACCACAGGGTCCAAAGCACGCCTGTGGAAGCGAATAAACCACTGCGCCACCACCACCCATACATTTCCGGAACTCGTCTGACTGGAACACCCGTGAATCATAATTTTCTTCCGGATCAAAAACTGCATCATGTCTTCTCATCGAGCTTAAAAGATCTCCTCCAAGTGACACACGCCAAGTCGTAGGTGTTCACCCTGCTAATTCTCATGGCTTCATTTTTCGCTATCGTGAATCGCGTGACATTTGACGTGCTTTGCTTGTTTGACATTTTCGCGATTGAATACTGAGTCCGTTTCCAGTTATCTTGTCTTTTATGTCTCTTCAATAATCTCACCTTTTTATTCCGTGGGCATATTTTAGGTCCGCCGACCAGGGGATCAATGGATGATTCGTGGCCCTCTGGAATATGTGCCCCCAATCCAAGTGGAAGTCATCTACCGACGCAAAGCGATACCGCTTGATCGCAATGAGGGTATTTACGTGCGAAATACGCGAACCGGTCAAGTTCATGCTGTGATTGGCGAGGCCTATATGCTTAATCATGAAGAGGAACTTTGGCGCAAACGAATGCCTTCTGACGTGATTCAGATGCTTTCGGAAAATAAAGATCCGTTAGGCGATCGTGGGACTTATGCGACAAAACGTCCCGTCCCGGTCTCTGACGAGCCACTTGATTTAACTAGGGTCGTCACGTATCAGGTCCCGCACAACGCTGCCGTGCAGATCTATGACTATCGAGATAAACGGGCACGGGTGGAGTTCGGACCGACTCTGGTCATGCTTGGTCCAGAGGAGCAATTTACCAAACTGAGTTTGAGTGGTGGCAAACCGAAACGACCGAATATGATTCGAAGCTTGTGTCTCTTACTCGGTCCGGATTTCTGCACTGATGTGGTCGTTGTGGAGACAGCCGATCACGCTCGCCTATCGCTTCAACTGTCTTACAACTGGCAGTTTGCGGTATCGAAGAACTGCTCACAGGAGGAAGCTGCCAAGCTATTTGCTGTTCCAGATTTTGTGGGGGATGTGTGCAAAGCGATCGCCTCTCGGGTCCGTGGCACAGTGGCTGCCGTGAAATTCGACGATTTTCACAAGGTGATTTGATTTGATATTTCCACTCTACTTTCGTTTACTGCCTTTGGTTGTTTGTCTGTGATTCACAAAAGGCCGCATCGGGGAACAAATTTAAAAGGGTTTGTTTATCGTTTTTACTCCAGATAAATCCAATTCAGATTGCTTATTATCCAATACAGTCCTGCCATCACAACGAGACTGCACCTTGACGCGGTGTGATGGCTTGCGTGCCTCCATGACCCTGCGAGCTACACAGGATGGCTTTTCACAGCCGTAGATCCAATCATGCCTGAAAGGTCAACGGGTAGAGGCCAGATGAAGCTCAGTCTCACAAACCAGCTGCTTGGGCACCCCCTGGCTTCTTTCTTGTATCCACACCCGCCCCTGGAGAGGTCACTCCAGTAAAAAACGGTGAGGGGCAGTTTACCGGTCAACCCCTCCCCCCCCCGCTAGATGGACGTGGGAGCGGGGAACCTGGGGCTTCCTCTCGACGGTGGGAGAAGTCTTCGCACTTCATCGGACAGCTACCGCCCGCCCAAGCTGGACAGCCCCCAGCCAATAAGGTGTGGTCCCGTCCATGTTTTGCTTGTCTCATTGGGTGCATGAGGCTGAGGGCTGATCCCGAAAAGCGGACCGAAAATCAACGCACCAGCGAACAACACAATCAATCGAAATTCAAAGGCCTTCCGTGACAGGTCTCGAGAAGCTCCCACACGGGTGCTTCATTCACGCTCTCGCCTTGGATTTACGCCCCACTACCTTGTGGGTCAGACTTTTGAGTCAAAGGTTCCGGTTTGGGTTCCGAAAGAAAAACCCTTTCGTCGGTGTGGGCTACCGCGAAGTATGCCGTGCCCTAAAGTCTTCGGTACCCATTTGGAAAA